AAAGAGGTAGGTCAAGAAGCATAGGAATGTGATGGTACAGCCATACATGGTAAGACTCCTTTAATAAGCTCTATAAAAGAGGATCATATGATTATCTGTGGTGTACTAGACCAAGAGGGCTAAAACAGTGAAAGATTCCCCTTCAGAATGAAAGGATCGGGATTAAGGAGTAGAAGAGATTTCATACTAGTGCCCAAAGACTGCTCCAGGCATCTTGACCCCTGTGAGCTCTGGCTGGGCCACAGCAGGGCCCCTTTTTCACAAATCCAATATGGAAACAAACAGACCAGCCTTGCCCTTGAAGTTGTCAGTGGGAGCCTCTCTAAGGCTTGTATCTTCAATTTGAGGCATTGTTGCATTTTTATGATTACAGAGCAAGAAAACATTTGAAAAAGCTATGGTCATGCTACATTAATGGCATTTAAAGTTCCCCTACTTTCCACAAAGTTTGGAGTATAAACTAAAACTATTCTTCAACTATGGGCCCTTTTGACCCATTGGACTATGGAAAAAGAAAGAAAGAAAGAAAAAAAATGTTATAGCATAACTATACTTACAGTCATATACAGTCATAACTATACTCACAACTATGGGGAAGTTCTAGAAAAGTTCTTAGGAAGTGACCAAAGGTTTTACTTGGCAAACAACAGAATGGATGTACGTTTAAACTTAGATTCATTATGCCAAGAAAAGTCCTTGGTAAGCAACCAACTCCATTTCTTAATTTGATTTGGTTATCCAGAATACACCAATTGTTCTGGTCATGTTCATGTCTTTGACAGCCATTTACAGTTCAACGGTCAGTGAAGGTTTGACTTTGGAGGGAAGCGGGCTGTTACACCCAGCACTATCCATATAATATATCAGTGTCAAGCTCAACCCTTTTCATAATCTTAGAAAGCCCTCGACAAGTTCTTTGTTTGGCCAGCGGTGGCTTGCTATGCTCCACCAAGGGCAATGAAGTGGCAATAAACTCTATCATGGTGTGCACCAATGTGGAGCTGACCAGACAGGATGCAAGCAGTGACAGATGTTAGGATGTGTCTGTTTGGTGGGATATCATCAGTCCCCCCTCATGTGGATTTGTCTGAACTCTGGTGTGAGGAATCAGTGAGACTTTGGTAAAGGATTACAGGTTTCAGGAAACTTGGTAGATCTTTATCCAAGAAGGAACACAGAGGACTGAAACTGTAGCCCCAAACCGCTGATCAAGCTAAAGCTGGGAGCCAGTTTGCGTTTGAGTGGGGACAATATTTCACACTGAGAAGTTGTAGACCGGCACTAAGTAGGCTTAGGAGTCCACCCTCTTTACAGTAACGACACTTGTGGGCTTAAATGTCAACGACAAGGGCTTCAAAGAGCTAAACTCTCGAGATCCTTAAGAAAGTGTTTGTGAAAAGGCACAAATGCTTTAGGACCGTTACGACAGCCAAGACTGAACTGAAGAACATGAATAAACCTATTGTTCAGTTGAGTTTGCTAAGGAAAGGATATGGCTTAGCTATTGGAACAATCATGTATTTCCAAGATTTTAAAAACATTGCAGAGCGGCAAGATTTTGTCCCTCCCTGCTTGTCTTGTTCAAAACATTTGCATTCCATCTTAAAATTCATATAAAAGGAAAACATTAAAATCAGCATGCTTTAATTCCCATAATGGGACATGGCTCTTACTGGCAAAGAGCACATCTGTTTTAAAAAATACAAATAAATAGGAAAAAGGATGAAGAGACAGAAGGGAAGGATCTTCCACTTCCTCAAGAGAGATAAGAAGTGCAACGCCAGCAAGTGCCTCACTGTTGCTTGCGGTCTGTTGATGTTGATGACCTGCTAATCAGCGGACAATATAAACAAATGTTGCAGTGCTAGTGGCATTTCACACTTCCACACATTTAGCACTCTTCTCTTCATTAATCCGTCTTTCAATCCCACCGTTTTATGCATGGTGCTAAGCGGGATATGGGACTCTTATCCAGTGTTTGTGTGAGAAAAGAGGATAAGGCTCAGGAACGAAGGCTAATGCTAATGCTTCGTCTAACGCTCACAAAGAGGGCTATTTATCCTGTGCACTCTTTATTCTAAACGCGTCAGGCCTTCATGCACTTATGCAATGGGTGTGAGGAGTTTGTGTAAATTTAGTATTAGCACCTTGATTCATCAAAGGAATAGATAGGAGATTTGTGGGACTTTCTCAGAGGTTCTTGCTGTATCTACACTATCCGTACCCCCCCCCCCCCCGGCTCTTGTCATTTGGCGCTTTGCTCCTGACACCCACTCCCAGGGTGCCCCACTGTGTGTTGCCGTGGTGACCAGGTGTGCAGAGGCGGCAGGTGGAGGCTCATTTAGGCGCATTAGGCCTTGCCACACGCCATAGGAAGAGTAATCATGCTTTACCTGCCTCTAGTACTAGTGCATACACAGCACAAAGAGCCCGACTCACTCTCCATCACACACTCACACACACAAATGTGGGTTCACACTTACACTAGCGCACACCTGGGACACATTTACAAGCTGATGGATCTCCAAAGGGAAAGAGAAAGGCAGGGAGGCTCTGTAGCACATGAGTGTGTGTATGTGTATGGGGGTCAAGTTTTTTCACACCTCAAAGCCTGTGGAAATGAGTGAATGGCGCCAGCGTGGGTTTTAAAGAGCTGAGGGGTGATAGGGCTTGGGAGGGTTAGTTAAAGGGTCCTGGCCTCTCATAATCCCCTCTGGTGAGGAGTGTACACCACATCTATGATCCACAAAGTACACTGAGTCCTTTATTCACTCACAGAACTACATCAGACATTTTTCTCAGTCTAGACAAAATGGGTTTCAAATGTCACAACAACAACAAAAAACTTACATTAAAAGAAAAACAGGGGTTTACAAGAAAATAAAAACATTTTACATGTTATCTCTTATTCTCTTATTGTGAGAAAAAAATAAGTAATGGTATTCACAAATTATGAAGCTGTAGGTAACTAGTTTTAAAGAACTTTGAGACATGTTCACTCTGCTCTGCATGTCTGTGAAATATCTCAAGAAAGAATTTCCTCCTGGTCAGTGAGATGAGGAGAGGGCCTCCCAGTCCTTCCAGAATTCAATCCATTATCAACTTTCTCCACTCAACAGTTCATTGTTGCCCTGGTGATCATCCATGCAGAGAGAATGGACAGACTAAGAGGCCCCTTTGACTTATTGAACCTCTGTTTCAATGTCTGCCTTCTCCATCTGACCTCTGACCCCCACCACCCTTTCACCCCGCACCCTCCATCCCAGCCTCCCCCTACAGGCTCCAGCCACCTGGAACACCCCTCTTTCTTTTTTGTTCTTTCTTGCATTGCTCCTTCAGTCTGTCGCTCCCCCATATTATAACTCTCTCTTTTCCCTTCACTTTTTTTTCTTGATCTCCCTTCATTTCCCCCCCTTTTTTATTTCTCTTTTAAATCAGTTACATGAATGCTTAAAAGCATAATGAATATTTTCAAATTGTCCTTAGTTTTTTTATAGATTATATACATATATATATATATATATATATATATATATATATATATATATATATATATATATATATATATATATATATAT